GGTCCTCTGCCATCTGGCTGTCCTCATCTTACAAACAGTGGCCGTAGAGTCTTGGTTCCCACTTTGCCCCTGCATTACTGTGTGACCTGGGGCAAGGTGCTTGCCCTTTCTGGGCCTCATGTCTTATTTATACACCTGAGAAGATGACTCCACTGAGGTTGCTCTGAGAGTCTGAGCTAGAGCGTGTTCATGCACTGGGGCTCCGGGCAGACTCCAGGTGCTGGGTCTTGTGCGTATCACCCTGATAGATCTTGTTTTCCTGACAGCTCTGCTGCCCTCCAGCGAGATGCTGGAGTTTTCTCTCCAGTCTAACTCTCCTGTGGTTCCAGGCCACTTAGCTTTGAATGAGGGACTGCCAGCTCCCATTCAACTGTGGCTTTCTGGTGGAGAGCACAGGACGCCCTCTGGGCCCACGCTGGCCTGCGCGCACGTGGGGTGGGCGGATACAACAGACACATCTCTGTTGTATCAACGAGATTCAGAGCAGTTGACAGGCCAAAACAAGAACCCGGCTGTGTCCACTCCTGACCCTCACACTGCACAGCCCAGTGCTTGACCGTGGCAGGAGGGGCTGCCCTCTGGACCCCTGGGGGGCCTTTGGGATGCCAACATTCACCTTCTGACTTTTTTTTATATAAGTTCAGCTTTATCTCGAGCCTTCTGCATGTAGGTAGAGGGTCTCTTTTTCTTAGAAAGGGAAGATAGATATGTGACCTGTGACAAGTTAGATGGGCATAATTAAACCTGCTGTGCTGCGAGGACTGGGTAGATGACAGCAGCACGTGACCAGTGCTCAACAGGGCGTGGCTGCTGTCACTCTCGATGTCAGCCACCTGCCCAGGCCATGCCCCGGCGTGGCCCCGCACCCTGACCTTGCCCTTGCCCTCCTTCACCAGGTTGAAGTGTCACAACAAGTGTACAAAAGAAGCCCCCGCCTGCAGAATATCCTTCCTTCCACGTGAGTTCTCTGTGCTCCCTCTCCTCTGCCTTCTGGATCTGGGGGTGAGCTTCCTTTAGCTTGGTCTGCGCCCTGCTGACGGGTCCCCCCTGTTCCAACAGTAACGAGGCTTCGGAGGACGGAGTCAGTCCCGTCGGACATCAACAACCCAGTGGACAGAGCGGCAGAGCCCCATTTCGGAACCCTCCCCAAAGCGCTGACAAAGAAGGTACGCCGGGCAGTGCCGGGAGAACCGCCGCCGCCCCCAGAAATCCTTTCTGTAAAGCACCCCTGGCGGGGAGGCTCGGTGGGGAAGTGTGGCATGGCACCACAAGCCAGGAGGGTGGCCCTGGGGAGCGTATCTTTGCCGTCTAGGAGACTTCTCGGTTCCACCCAGAGTGTTGTGGTGTGGCTGTGATGCCCGCGTGCAAATTCTGTGCCAGGAGCTTCCTCCATTGCCATTTCATTTGACCCCTCACAGTGGTTCCAAAGGGCACAGACTGATCTATTTTACAGTGAGACACTGAGCCCAGCCCCCCCCCCCCAAAGAGCAAGAAGCAAACCCAGAGCGGTAGCCTTGGTGTTTGCCCGACCCCAAAACCTGGGCCCTTTGTCGCAGTGTGGCACACACGCCTGCAGTTGTGCACTAAAGCAGTTGCGCGGCTGCAGCGAGCAAGGCGCTGCCACCCTTACTGGTTCGCACCCCAAAGTGGGTTTCTTTGCATAGCCTGGGGCCGGGCTCCTCTGCTGGTGCAGACAGGCGTCCTCTGCGGTAGACAGACTCTGGAAAGCCTTTGTCCCCCAGGACGCTCTGCAGACCTGTCTTCGGCCCCTGTGCGCAGGTGTTCCTGGTGTCTGCGAGGCGCCGGTTTCGATGGCTTCTGACAGCCGCCTCCATCCTGGCGACCACGCGGCAGGCAGCTTCCTCCCAGGCTGCAGGCTGCGGCTGTGTATTTTTAAGTGTGTCCTGTCTCAGCCCCAGACCAGGGCGTAGCATGTGCCTCCCCGATGTGGAGCGTGTCACTACTGCTGCTTGGCTGTGACCGGCCTTCAGTGACCCAGGCCAGCCTCAGTGGAGGTGTGAGCTGAGAGAAGAGAGAGGCGGGTGGGCGGTGTGGCCCCTTAACCCAGGGGCTGCTCCAGGAGTGTCCAGGGCCACCTCTTACTGTCAGACAAGGCCATCTGCGCCAAATCTGACCCCCTCTCGGGCCTCCTCCTGTCCTTTCTCCTGCCTCTTCCTGTCTTGTGTTTTCCCTCTGATAGCAGCTTCCCAGCAGGAATGGTGGGACCGAGTGGATAGATGCTAGGATCCTGTCTTAGCCCATTGGGGCTGCTATGACCAAATGCCACAGCCTGGGTTCTGGAGGCTGGGAAGTCCACGATCAAGGCACTGGCAGATCTGGTGTCTGGGAAGGCCCCATTTCCTCGTAGACGGTGCCTTCTTCCTGTGTCCTTATACCGTGGAAGGGTCCAACAAGCCCCCCCAGGCCTCTTTTATAAGGCCACCACTCCTGTTCATGAGGGCTTCACCCTCATGACCTGGTCACCTCCCAAAGGCCCCACCTGCCGATACCATCATTAGGATTTCAGCATAGGGACTTTGGGGGACACAGTCGTTCAGACCATATCGTATCACAGCCCTGGGTTTGAGTCCAATTAGTCCCCTTTCTTGCTTCTGTGACCTTCAGTGAACTACTTGACCTCTCTGAGCCTCGATAATAATGCTTCATTCCCAGGGTGTCAGAGGGCAATGAGAGAAAGTTCATGAACTCAGGTGCAGGGGGAGATACCATCCCATCACCCAGTATTTGTTTCCCAGCCTGTCACAGACAGGAGTAATTCCTTAGCAGGGACGCTGGCACACCCCACCCCGTCACCAACACCGTCACCGCCCTGCCGTCTCCTCTCCAGCTCTGCTGTGCACACCTGTGGCCTCACAGGGTACTCACGCCCGCGCTCACCCACGTCCCTTCGTGCCCTGGCGCATTCACTCCCGCACCTCCGCCCAGCTGGGCGCCGCTCCTCGGCCCTGCTCTCGGCTCGGGACTCTCAGTCCCACCTCCTGCACGCACCTGCTCGGCCCCTGAGCCGACGGAGCCCTGGGGTGTGAGGAGCAGAGCAAGGGGTCAGTGGCCCAGCCCCCTTCTTAGCTTGGCACCACGTTGTGTCAGCTGTCCCTGGAGTTCACTGCCACCCAGAGCCTTCAGGGCCCGCGGAAGAGTCACCTGCGGAACTTGGCGTTTGACCCAACTTGGCCCCAACGCTTTTGACCAAGAAATTCCTCTTCTACCCCTCCCAGGACCTGATTTTTGGGGCTGGGGGACACCCATCATATCCGGGGTCCTGCCTAACATGGAACCCCGCAGCCTTCTGTCTGCTGGTAGCCTAGGCCCAAACCACTGGGTGCTCCTGGCTAGCAGGTCAGCAGAAGAGTGGCACAAGCATTTATTAGTCACCTACTGTGTACCACACACTCACCTTTGTGAAGCTGCTAATACAGCCACCCTCTGACATAGGTGTGGATGTCTTCATTTCGTGGTTGAGGAAATGAGAGCTCAGAGAGGTGAAGGAAGTTGCCCAGTCACCCAGCTCAGAGGTGACAGAGCTGGGTGAGAATTGCAGTTAATCTGCCTCCAAGCCCGCTGCTGTTTCTGCCGAGAAGTCTGAGCTTGGGCCTCCCCAACTCGAGTGCAGCACCCCGTCCCCAGAGCGCTCTGCGTCCTCCCCCAGGTGCTCGCTCTCGGCTGGGAGATGCTGCTGCTATTCTCGGGGTTTCCTCTGTGCTGTGGCCCGGGGAGCCCTGGTCAGAAGGAAGCCCAGAGCTGGGATCCAGCCAGGCCTGTCCCCCATGACCGTGGGCAGAGCCGCTCGCCGCCCCGGGCCCTGAGCTCTGGCGTGGGGCTGGGGTGGTGCGTAGTATGGGGAGAGCCGATGCTAGAATCATCAAGTTGCAAAGCGTCTTCATGGTTTCTGCCTTAACCGGGTACCCCCTGGGTTAATGTTTACATGTAAGAATTCGTTTTTATGTAATCATCACTGTCATAATTGGAAAATCCACCATCTCCATAGAGAGAAGGTAATCATTAAAATCAATATAGTTTAAACCAAAAGGTACTAAATTCCATCTAGATACCATGCTTGCTTACGGCTCGGAGCTTGACACCTTCAGTCTTTGTTAACTTGCCTGGCCGGTGTGGGGAGGCCTTCAGGACACAGCGGCAGGGACTGAGACCTTCGTGCAGGACAAGGGAGAAAAGAACACTCTTTCTTCGTGGCTCAGTGTCCCCATGGTGTGTCCAAGGGCCTCTTAAAGTCCCCTTGTGGGCCACCAGACATGCGTGAACCCTCTGGCAGGCTCTGACTGGCGTGATCTATTAGTAGGGGGGACTGTGCTTGCTTTTGCGTGGGTAAGGGATGACATTATCATTTAAGTTGGGACAGCAGGAGCGAACCAGGTTTGTCCCGACAAACCAACTCTTGCAGTTATCTTCTAGAAAGTTCATTCCAGCTCTGGAATTTTTCACAGTGGCAGACAGCACCGGCCCTCACTGGCTTTGCAGCTTAACGTGGGTTCCTAGAGTTCCCAGTGCCTTTGAGGCAACAAGGTCTGCAAAGACAGGGCCATTTGCATCTGGCTTGTCGTAGTCTCCTTACTTTTTGCGGGGCACCTGGCAAGAGCAGGCGTTACTCGTAAACACGCGTTAGAGGCTGAATTCACTTTATTATATAAAACCCTACTACTTGTCTCACTCAGAGGCAGGCATTGGCCTCACAGCACACGCGGTGTGGTGGGAATGACGTCCAGCAGGAAAAAGTGCCCCTATGGAAAATCGCTGGGAGCTATGGGAGGCTAAAGAGGAGGAGCATGGTCCCGGCTGGGGTTCAGGGAAGGCTTCTGGGGGGAAAGGCTGCTTGGGCTGAACAAAGATGAGTGGGAGTCCTAGCAGATGGACATTGAGGTGAGGGTCTCTGTGTGCGCCCCTTGCTCAAATACTAGGCCCATACAACGGCAGCCGAAGGGCAAGACCCTGAGGATCCCCTGGGCTGACCTCTTCCTTTTCAGTGGGCAAGGGAGGGTGCTGACACGGGGCAGGCAGCCCGGGTCAGGTGGTGACAGCCCTGCCCACCCCAGCGCCTCTGGTCCTGCAGGAGCACCCTCCGGCCATGAACCACCTGGACTCCAGCAGCAACCCATCCTCCACCACCTCCTCCACGCCTTCCTCGCCAGCGCCCTTCCCGACGTCGTCCAACCCCTCCAGTGCTACCACGCCGCCCAACCCCTCGCCTGGCCAGCGGGACAGCAGGTTCAACTTCCCAGGTACCACATCTCGGCTTTTCTGGGTTCTCAGGGGAGCCACCAGATCCCCCTTCTCAGCAGACCCTGGCAGGTTCAAGGTCAAACACCACTACCACAAAGAGCTGATGCTTATGGAGCACTTGCCAAGCACCTCGAGCACGGTAGCACTGAGGGTGATGCTGTCATTGTACCCATTTTGCAGACAGGAACACTGAGGTTCAGAGAGCAGGAGTGGCTTGCCCTGCGTTGTATTGCTCAGAAGTAGCACAGCAAGGACCAAACCTGAGACCATATGATGTAACATAACCCCCACGCTGCCCTCCCGTGCACAGGTGGCTCCTCTGGAGCATGGCTCACTCACTCAGGGCGGGCATCTGAGCTCCCAGGAGGTGTGGCAGGCAGCACAGTGAGCCAGGAGGCCTAGCAGAGGGGCCCTGCTGCCTACCTGCTCTGTGATCTGGGTAAGCCACTTCAAGGAGACCCTTGGTTCATTTTCCATAAAATAAGGAGCCCATGCGAAGCTGGGCTTAGGTCGTCCCCGTGGTGTGGCTGAGGACACTGCGTCCCACGGAAGAGCAGAGCAAGAGGCCCAAGCCGGAGCTGACTCCAGCTCCCCCCCGCAGCCCCGCTGCCCAGGGCTCCGTGGGGAGAGGTCAGGACCTCAGCCCCTCCTGGCCAGGCCCGGCGGGGCCGCCTCTCCCAGGAGCAGAGCCAAGCCCACTTGCCCCTTTTGGGGCTCAGCTGCCACCGTGGCCTCCCCAGCAGCTCCTCGAGGCTGGACTCAGCCTTCAGCTTCTGCAGTTTGCAGGCCTGGAGGAAGGAGGACGGCAGTGACGCTCAGCTCCGGGCCGCCACAGGCTGTCCCCGGCCCGTGGAGTCCAGGTCAGGCCCCTGCCACTGGCCCCTGGGGCTCCAGGCCCTGGAGGACAGAGGTGCGGCTCTAACCATGCCAGGGGAGCACAGCTGGGGCCACGCAGAGCCAGCAGGAGGCCGGGCCTTGGGCCGCCTCACCAGGGTTCTGGGGGGACTGCTCTTAGGGGTGGCGGGACACCAGGTTTTGTAGGAATCTTTTCTTCTCTTGTGCCTGTCCCTTCACCTCCATATGCACGTGGCTGGGAATCCTGTGACATTAACACCTGTCCTGAGCACGCCCTCCCCTCCCGCAGGTGAGCGATGGCCCATTTGATTAACCTGCCCTCCCATTCTGCTCCGTCCTTATTACGCTCCGAAACTGCCTTTGCTAACCTCCTACTTTGGGTTTTTCTAAAAGGAAGGGCCTGTTTGAAAAACAACAGCCACAGAAAAGGGCCTTTTTGTGATGTCAGCCAGACCTTCTCCGCTTTCCCCGATGTCTCTGGACTGGGCCCTCATTGTCCCTATACAGAGGCCTCCCCCTCTCCAAGATCTTATCTCTCTGGCCCTGGCAGCACTAATTGGGCCAAGCCCTCAGGGCTGGGCTGCCCGGTACTCTATCTGGGAAGGAACTCCTGTCGTCCCCTGCTCTGTGCCGCACGCACGACAGCATGGCACTTGGTCTTCAGGGTTAAACCTGGGAAAAGGTTAGGGTCACAGCACTTCCTAAGGGGGTTACCTGCTGAGAAATGCGCTGTGAGGCAGTTTTGTCGTGTGGGACGTCCTGTGTACTCACAGAAACATAGCGATGGCAGAGCCTACTGCACACCTAGGCTACGTGGCACAGCCTGTTGCCACAAACCTGCACAGCAGGCGACTGTCCTGAGTGCTGTAGGCAACTGTAACACACTGGCATTTGTGTATCTAAACATAGAAGAGGGGCCGGGCGCGGTGGCTCACGCCTGTAATCCTAGCACTCTGGGAGACCGAGCGAGGCGGGAGGATCGCTCAAGGTCAGAAGTTCGAAACCAGCCTAAGCAAGAGCGAGACCCCATCTCTACTAAAAATAGGAAGAAATAATTGGCCAACTAAAAATATATATAGGAAAAATTAGCCGGGCATGGTGGCGCATGCCACCCAGTAATCCCAGCTACTCGGGAGGCTGATGCAGGAGGATCGCTTGAGCCCAGGAGGTTGAGGTTGCTGTGAGCTAGGCTGATGCCACAGCACTCTAGCCCAGGCAACAGAGTGAGGCTCTGTCTCAAAAAAAAGAAAAAAGAAAAAGAAAACATAGAAGAGGTATAGTAAAAATGTTGTATAAAAGATTAAAAATGCTACACCTATACAGGGAGCCTGCCACGCAGCTTACAGGCCTGTAACTTGCTCGGCGTGAGTGGGGAGTGAATGCGAAGGCCCTGTGCACACGTAGGGAGCACTAAATTTATTTTTAGAAATTTTCTTTCTTCAATAATAAATTAACCTTAGCTCGCTGTAACTTTTTGACTTTATAAACTTTAAAAATTTTTTTTTCACTTTGAGTCTTTTGTAATAACACTTAGCTTAAACACATTTTACAGCTGTACCAAAATATTTTTTCTGTATATCCTTTTTCTATAAACTTTTTTATTTTTTAAATTTAAATTTTTTTTTTTTTTTTTACTTTTTAATCTTTTTTGTTAAAAGCTGAGACACAAATGCACACATTAGCATAGAGCTATGCAGGGTCACGATCATCAATGCCACCGTCTTCCACCTCCACATCTTGTCCCACGGGAAGGGGCAGTAACACTGGTGGAGCTGTCATCTCCTGCGATAACAGTGCCTTCTTCTGGAACGCCTCTTGAAGGATCTGCCTGAGGCTGTTTTTACAGCCTACTTTCATTTTTATTATAAACAGGAGGAGAACACTCTAATAATGATAAAAAGTATAGTAAATACGCAAGCCAGTAACGCAGTCATTTATTATTATCATTGGGTGTTACGTTCTGCACATGATTGTATGTGCTATACTTTGATACAACTGGCAGTGTAGTAGGGTCGTTTACACCGGCATTATCACAAACACATGGGTAATAATACTCCATGACAACGGCTACAATGTCACTAGGTGACAGGAAGTTTTCTGGTCTGTTACAATCTTACGGGGCCACCATCAGACATGTGGCCTGTCGTTGACTGAAAAATGTCATTAGGCGGAGCAGGATTGTATGTGTTAGCTACGTTTTACAGTGAGACAACCAGAGAGGGTAACTAACTTGCCAAGGTCCCAGAGCCTAGTAAGTGGCAGAGTGGAGGCTAGAACATGCTGTGTCAGATTCCAGAAGTCCAGTGTGTTCCTTTTGGTTCCCCTTAAGAGAGGGGGAAAAAAATCTTGTGTTGGGGGTGACACTCTGGGGGTGAAGGTGGGGGCCCGTCTTCTGCACACAACACTGTTACACTTTGTCGTGATCACTGTTTTCTCCCACATTGTACGTTGCCCTCCCGGGCTCCAGTGCATGTCGCAGAGCAGGGCACTGGCCCGGCCTCTGCAGCAGGGTGGCCGCTGAGACTGGGTCTCGGAACCGCCAGGCCGCCTGCCCCAGCCCCTTTACTCCTGGAGGCTCCTGCGGGGCCCGTTTCCTCCCAGCTCGTTCCGTCCTTCCTGCATGGCTCAGCCTGCCCCTGCCAGGCCCACCTGGGGCAGGGCTGTCCCAGCCCAATAACAAGCCCGTATCTCCCGAGCTGATGCCTGCGTTCCCTCCTCCCTTGCTGAGTTTGCCGTTCTGTGTGTGTGACTCACTTCCTCTTCTGTTTAAAGCTGCCTCCTTCATTCATCATAGACAGCAGTTTATCTTTCCAGGTGAGTCCTTTGCATGGTTCCACTAACTACCTCTTGCTGCAGCCCTTCTGTCCAGCCTACCTGGGTGCCCTCTCCCTGGGCGCTTCTGGAGGTATTTGAGTCTCCCTCCACCTGTTTTGAGAGCTGACTGCCCATTGAGGATCAGAAGGGGACAGGGCAAGTGTCCTGGAGGTGGGCTCCTTCCATGAGCAGTCCTTGCTAGGAGAGATCCTGGAATCCATCCTGTCCTGCCTTTTGCACAGAGACTGCAGGCAATTTTTTCAAGGTCACACAGCCAGGAGGTGGCAGAAGCAGGACTAGAACCTGGTTTTGCAGAATGGAGGAGGAGAATTTTTGCTGGTGCCTTATGAGCAGCTGTCACCATATCCTACCCTACATACACAATGACAGTAAACTACTACCTTATCTTACAGAAGTGGAAACCAATTTGGGAAGGTCTGCAGGCTTCAAATTTGTCCAATGCTTTACAACACAGTGCCATCTGCTGGCCATCACTGGAAGTGCCTCCTATTGAAGAAAATTTTTTTTTTTTTTCCAAACAAGTCAGTTGTCTGATTGAAGAAAATTTAAAGGAAAAAACTTTTCAATTTAATAATATAGTCCAGTCCATTGATACCCTTTCAGAAAAATTGTTTTGCACACCTACTATGTGCCAACCTTTGCCTTTGACCATATTTCTTCCCCTAAGGAGTTTATAAGATCAGTGCTTTTTTCCTCTAGGTGAAGGTATCAAGCATGGTGGTGTTTAAACAAAGACTGTAGCTGCTTGGTTTTTTTCTTGGATTAAACAGGACTGTCTTGAAGTTACAGTATTTTGGTTATTCCAGGATTTTCTGTTCCCCCAGCCCAGCTGCATTAGGTGATTGACTGGGAGCACTTGTGGCCCCACGGGGGCTTCCTGGGAATAGCCGAGCTGCCTCTGTGCTTTCACGCCCGGTTTGCTGCAGTTCCCCTCCAAGTGCCTCCCTGGTTACTCGCTCTAGGACGCATTCAGCGGAGCACCCCAAAGCATTGGGAAAACATGGCTCTTCTTCCCGAAGGGCCCATTTTGCCCTGAAGATATGTTGAGGGGAAGGAAAGGAAATCTATTTCTATTAAAACAAACACAGACACATTTTAGGGGGAAATGCACAATACACTCTTAACCTTTAAGCAAACGTGTGAGGCTTTGGAGACATTTCGCCTTCTACCTGGGGTGCGGTTTCTCCCCAGACCCCCAACTCCCTCCAGTCCCCCCCTCGCCCCAGGCATGTGTTTATCTGGAACACGGAGCAGCATGGATGAGCAAAAGCTCCAGGCCGCCACCGGCAGTCTGTCAACACAGTGTAGCGGTGTCGGGGGAGGCCTTAGCAGAGGCTTCTGACGCCCCAGGTCCCCAAGAAATGGTGCAGGGTGTTGGCCCATGTGCACAGTTCCCTGATGAAAAGGATGAGCCTCTGTCAGGTTCTCCACATCTACGAGGTCCCAGAGAGGTTGACGCCTCTGGTTCAGGTGACCTTCAGGAGTAGCCTGGCGGCCCGATGGCTGAGCGGGGAGAGTCTGTGTCCACAAAGGCAGGAGGGAGGGCCACTGCCACTTCCAGTCTCTCTGTGCAGACAAGGCGGGGAGTGAGGGCCCCACGCCCACCCTGAGGCCCCCAGTCTCTCTGTAGCACTTGGGTTCCACACTGGGGTGCCCTCTGTTCTGGTGTCCCTGGACAGGGGACTTTCAGTGCTAAACCTGGGGAAGTCCCTGGCTCAAGGGTCAGCCCGGCTGCCCATTCTTGGGCCCCCTGATGTGTGGACGGGGCATGTCTTCCTCTCCCCTGAGAGCTGCTCCCCCAGTGACACCCCCACACACACAGAGACCATATTCGGAAGCTGGGTTGGGGGGCGGGGTGTTCTGCTTTGGAAATGCCCAGCAGCTGCACCAGGTGTCGCTGACATCCACCTGCCAGTCCTGCCCTTGGCCTCCACTGGCCTAAGGAAGGAGTCTCATTAGGTGCAAGGGGGGCTGCCCAGCCCCCGCCTCCAAACAGAAGGACCCTGCCACCGAGAAGGCGCTCTGGCCGCCTGTCCAGTGAATGATAGCCCGTTTGCTCGTGCCACTTGCCCGTGTGGGCAGCTTGGCCTCGGGAATGAGAGGTCCCGCCCTCCTCCCCCACCCGGAGCCCCTTCCTGGGCCTGAGCAAGCGCTGTGAAGGCTGCATGCAGGTGAGCGACCTGGAGGAGCGCAGCCGGTCCTTCAGGAAGCGTCTGGTGCACGCATGGCAGCCGCTCGGGGAGGGCCGCCGGCCGGGGGTGCCGGGTTTCAGGCACGGTGTCTTCGTGGGGACTGGAAGGGTGGTCTCACGCTTCGTGTTTGCTTTCTGTCGCCCGCAGACATCTCGGCCTCTGCGCAGGCGGCCCCGCTCCCCGATGCCGCCGACAGCACCCGGTAGGTGTCCCTGTGCTGGCCCCTCTCCTAGCAGACCCACACTCCTGACCACCGCCCCACCTTCAACCCCCCACCTTCCTGCGCTGGGCGTTGCCGTGTGCCTGGACCAGCCAGCCAGGGATCTCGGGCTGACTCACCCTCTGGGCCCGCGAACCGGCCGGAGGGTTTTATTAGCCTGTCAGTGTGGCCAGCATCGCGTGGGCCATGTGTGAAGCCGGAGGAGTCTTGTGACCGGGGAGGGCTGGACCAAGCACACCAGAGTTGGAGAAACCTACTAGAAATAACTCCTGTTTGTGGAGTCCTTTCTCCGTGCCAGGCTGTGCCGAGCACTTGACTCACGCACATCCCCTCACTTAGTCCGCGGACAGCCTGCTGAGGTGGGTATTAAAGTGGGTGTCAGCCTTAGTGGACAGCTGGGCCAGAGAGGTTAAGAAATTACATAAGGTCACACAGCTAGGAAGTGATAGAGCCAGTTCTCAAATGCAAGGCTGTTGGGTTCCAAGTCCTGTGCGGGTGCCCTGAACCCTGGTACTGCAGTGTCAAATCTGAAAGGGGCCTCGGTGGCTCCTGCCCACCTCTGATTCCCACCTCCCTAATCATCTTGGAGAAGGCTGAGCCAGGGAGGGGGTGGGCCTGGTCCTCACCTTCTGCCTGTTTCCTCAGCATCCATGTTGCCTTTCCCAGCCACGTGTGGGTCAGAGTAAGGATCCAGCCTGGAGGCCTTTTGTTTGAGCCCTCACTCGAGTCCCCTGCCCACTGGGAGCAGAGTAGCCCGCCCACGGGGTCTTCTTGACAAACCCTGTTTTATTTACTCTTAGGCTCGACGACCAGCCAAAAGCAGACGTGTTGGAGGTTCACGAAGTGGAGGTGAGTGAGGGTCCGACACGTGAGTCCATGGACAGCCCCTGCTCTGTGCACCCCCCCCCCATCTCCGAGCACGTAGGGCTCTGGGCCGTGAGTGGGTGCCGGGCCCCGGCCAGGGCTGTCCCAGGTGCCCGCTGCAGCAGGGAAGAACGATGAGGCTGGGGCAAAAACGCGCTTCCGTTTCCTTCTGTTTCTGAGGCTATCTAAAGTCCCTACTTCCCGTGGTCCTCACTGCCAGCCCGGATGCCTGGGCCCTGGCCTGGGAGACTGTCCGTCCGGTCAGTCCGGGATGGGGTCGGGCGTCTGTGTGTTGTCAGGACTCCCCAGGTGATTCTGATTGTAGCCGGGGTCAAGAACCGCTGTCTTGATCTTTGAACAAAAGTGTTGACGGAGCCTGGATATCCCTGCAGTGCAGGGTGGCTTAGAGAATATTCACAGACTGATTCGCTCCTGCCCAGGGGAGAGTCGGAAACTCTGTGTTTAAACCAAAAAAAAAAAAAAATACCAGAAAGATGAATGTAGTTAATCTCTTCCTTGCCAGGGATGTTAAATGCTCTTTCCTGAGTAATCAGATGTTGCTCATAGGCAGATCTCGGAGTGTTAGCAGGATGAGGGACCTCAGGGATGCCCTGGGCCGACTGCCACATGTTGCGGCTGAGGACATGTCGTCTAGTCGTGCTAATAAATGATCCGCCCACCGTCCCCAGCAAGCTGGGCAGAACTGCAGCTAGAACCCGGGTCTCCGGCTCCAAGCGTCTTTCCTGCCTTACCTCTGTGTGTGCTCTGAACCCCTGTATCACATGGGGGGCTCCGCATAAGGGAAGAGAGGTCGGCTGAGCCCAGGTCTGCTGCCCTTCCCCGTTCTTTCCTCTCTCCTGCCTTCCTTGCAGGCGGAGGAGCCGGAGGCCGGCAAGTCTGAGGCAGAAGATGACGAGGACGAGGTGGACGACCTGCCCAGCTCCCGCCGGCCCTGGCGCGGCCCCATCTCCCGCAAGGCCAGCCAGACCAGCGTGTACCTGCAGGAGTGGGACATCCCCTTTGAGCAGGTGGAGCTGGGCGAGCCCATCGGGCAGGGCCGCTGGGGCCGGGTGCACCGCGGCCGCTGGCACGGCGAGGTGGCCATCCGCCTGCTGGAGATGGACGGCCACAACCAGGACCACCTGAAGCTGTTCAAGAAGGAGGTGATGAACTACCGGCAGACGCGGCACGAGAACGTGGTGCTCTTCATGGGCGCCTGCATGAACCCGCCCCACCTGGCCATCATCACCAGGTAACCCGGCCCCTCCCCCGCGAGCCCCCTCCTCTGGGTGCGCGCCTGGAGTGGGGAAGCGTTCACACGGAGAGAACCGAGAATGGGTGGAACTTCCCCACTCACAGAACCCCACCGACATTGAAACATAAAGATGATACCTTTCTACAGGTAGAGGAAATTCAAATGTCCCATAAAAGGGACAAAGCAAAATTCAGTCCCCTCCCTCCCCGCCGGCTGGGCGCTTCTCCCCAAAGCTGGGGACTGTAAACGGTTCCTTGACATTCCCTCCACTGATATGAAGAAGTCTGCATGTGCTCATGTGTTTTTAAACTACGTATATATTCCTTGGTAAAAGCACACAGGAGAGATTACGCTGGTTTATACGTTGCTTTCTCCACTTAATTGTAGCTCTGAAGCCCGCTCTATTCTTCTCAGCACCTGCGGGTGTTCCCATCCCAGGTGAACCCGGTGGTGTGCTGGTAATGTTTAACAGCCCGCTTTGGGGCAATAAGGACTGAGGCCCTAATTTGTAGCCATCTGTCAATTTCATGGTCAGTTTCAAGATAACAACATGATGTCACTGAGAGTAGAGCAGAACTGGGAAGAGCCACACACGTGGGCCTGTGGTTCTCTCGCCGGTCATCTTGTAATTTATTTAAGCAGCCCTCTTGGGCTGGACACTGTCACAATGAGCATCCTCGTTTGTTTGTCTTGATGAGCTTCAGCGAGTATATTTGCAGGCTAGGCCAGAGCCTACATATGGAACATTTGGATTTCTAGTGCCCGTTTCTACTCCAGAAAGCATTCACCAGTTTACTCTTTCTCCATCCACATATACGGGAGTGTCCATTTCCCCAGAGCACCAGGGGGTGTGGAACTAAAACATGTTTGCCCAGGGCGTTTAAGAAATTATTGTTTGCTTTTATTTTATTTATTTATTTTCTGGACAGAGTCTCACTCTGTTGCCCAGGCTAGAGTGCTGTGGCGTCAGCCTAGCTCACAGCAACCTCAACCTCCTGGGCTTAAGCCATCCTCCTGCCTCAGCCTCCCAAGTAGCTGGGACTACAGGCATGCGCCACTGTACCCGGCTGATTTTTTTCTATATATTTTTAGTTGGCCAGTTAATTTTTTCTGTTTTTAGTAGAGACGGGGTCTCGCTCTTATTCAGGCTAGTCTTGAACTCCTGAGCTCAAACGATCCGCCCACCTTGGCCTCCCAGAGTACTAGGATTACAGGCGTGAGCCACCGCGCCTGGCCTATCGTTTGCTTTTAAAATCAGGAAAAACAATATAAAGTCAGTAGAGAAATGTTGGAATATACATAGAAGTTTCGAGAAGAAACTAAAAATCACATTAATCCCATCGGCCAAAAGAACTCACATTAGTATTCTGATGATGTTCCTATAGCTGAACTCTGTGCTTTAAAAATAAAAACAAAAAAACCACAAAACTTTTTTCTACTCAAACTGTATCACCCAAGTAAAAATGAATTTCCATTTTCCTTATGTATCCGAGACATAAGTAACCACCCACCAGAACTCCTGAGCAGTGTGACATCACCAAGGTCACCACATGAAGGGGACACGATTCCAGCCTAAAGCACAGCACCGCGATGTCTTAGGAACCCTTGCGGTCGTACAGCTTAGCCGCCCCCAGTGTCACCTGCCCGTCCGTCCACCTTCCCATCTCTCTCTGACTCACCCACCCAGTTCCACGGGAGATTTGAGTCTGGTAAAGACGATACACATAAGTAAACAGCAAAATATTCACAAATTTTTAAAGAACTTAATGTGTTTTTAGAATATGCTGAGGAAAAATGGAACCCAGATAAGTCATCACCAGTATTCCATACCCCTCGCCTGGTTCTCTAAATCTCTGAGGCTCCAAGAATCTTTTCCTTAAAAATAGTCGCTTCCTAAGACGGTGTAAGGCAGCCTGTCCCTGCAGCAGGGGAATGAGCCACACATCTGAGTCCTTCCTCGCTGCCTTTTAGGAGACGATGCAGGCAGGGACCCCAGAACGCAAGTGCCTGTCCCGGTAATACTCTGACACCCCTGCCATCTGCCCCCGCCCTCCTCGCACACCCCTGTATCATAGTAGAAGCCCCGTGATGAAAATACTCACAATAGCAACAACGAGAGTCTTGACAGTGGGCTCCAGGGCCTTGATAGTGTCTGGGTTTCAGCCCTGAAAGGCCAAGGTCTTCCCCGTCGGGATTCCAGTGGTGGCGATCGTGCCTTGAACCCGTCGAGGACGGCTGCTCCACATTGTTGGCAGCTCCGACGAGCTGAGTCTGCTGTTGCAGGGCAGGGCAGGCCCTGGGCTCAGGGAACAGGGTGTGTGTGTGCATGCATGTCACTGTGGGTGTTTGTGCACGGGGCAGGCGACGCCCCAGCGGGAGTGAGCGTCAGGCTTGGTCAAGAAAGGATTCTTTGGCTCGCAGTCGAAGGGGGCGCAGAGAGTCCTTGGGGGTGGGCAGTCACAGTTCTCTCCATGGGCGCAGTTCACCCACGAGGGGTCGGGGCGGCTGCACTGGCCCCAGACCTCTGACCCCACCACCCTCGACAGCTTCTGCAAGGGGCGGACGTTGCACTCGTTTGTAAGGGACCCCAAGACGTCTCTGGACATCAACAAGACGCGACAGATCGCTCAGGAGATCATCAAGGTAAAGCAGCGTTCGGCTGCGGGAGGGTGGGTTTCTTGGCTGTGCGGAGCCCTCAGTCGTTCCCCTGCTCTGGGCCATGTCAGGGGTCACTTTGTCCCTCCCTCTAGCTCAGGCTCCTCGATGGTGGGACCCCTCCCCCCCCTATCTCTGTCCCTGTCTCCTCCACTTGGAGCTGGGAGCTGTCCACTCCTTTAGCCTTGATGGAACGGAATTGGTTGGGGAACTCAGCAGGCTTTAAAGACGGTTTGAATCCTGGCGCACCAGCTCTGTGACCTCAGGCAGGTTGTTGAGCCTATCTGAGCTTCAGATTCCTCCCCTGTAAAATGGGGGTGCCGATATAGCCTCCCTTGTTGGATTGGCACGAGGATAAACGCAGTAATGCACGGGAGAGTTTGGCACAGGCCGGGCACTCGCGAGGCCTGCTAGGACCGAGGATGGGAGGAGCAGAGGGGCGCAACTTTCCTTCCAGGCACACAAGGACCCACGTGTTTGCCTGAAAGTTTTTTCCATGTGGCTAAACTAAGGAATTAAACTTTTGAAACCAAAGCCAGATCCTAAGTGTTGGGCTCAACTGGGCAACTTTTTCCTTTCTTTTATCATGTTTTAAAGTGATTAAATAAAAGTGAAAGAAAAGTGTATTTGTGCTTTATTTTTAGCAACAAACAGGCTCAAATGAAAACTAGAATGCTGGTGGAAGGGTTCCTTCTTTTCTTTTTTTATTGAGTTGAGAAGCTTCTACTTATCAGCTGCCACCAAGCTTCTCCCCTTTTTATCTTCTTTCTTTTCTCCCGCTGTTCTCCCTCCCTCCTCGCTCATTCTGTCCATTGTGTGTGTGTGTGTTTTGAAAGGAACAAATAAAATCACAGTGATGTTTTTAGATAAACCAAGATTTCTGCATGACATTTCCGTGTGGCTAAATTGATGAATTAAGAATTAAACTATTGAAGACCAAAACCAAAATGTCACACTTTCGCCTTCACTTGTAGTCTGTGTGATTTCAGAGCGATCGGCGGGCCCTGCAGAATGTTACACAACTTCCTTTCCCCCAAAACCCTCCAGCTCTGCCCCCGTCTTGCCCACCCTGCCGCCCTCCCTCGAGCTCTTCCCTCTCCTTACTGTCAGCGCTCGGGGACTCTGGCTGGCTGCTGACCGGCTGAGTTAGGAAGCAGGAGGCTTCTGGAAGATACCAGGGCAGAGGACAAAAGTTACTGAAAGGTTTTGCAGCCGCAGAGCTGGAGGCTGCCTCTCTGCTGGCCTTTTTGGGTTTTGTCCTGATGAAAAACCATCCCTCTCCCCCTTTCTGCTGGGAACTTCTGAGCCACTCCCTTCGTGTCCTTGCCTCCAGTGCTTTCAGACTCAAAATGAACAGGGGAGGCCTGCCCTTTGGTTAGAGGATCAGCAGCTCTGGGGCTGCTGCGGAAACACTGTGAACTTCTGGGAGGGGAGGAGAATTTGTGTTCCAGAGTCAGCACTTTACCTCTTGTCTCTTTAAACGGGCCTTTCCATTTAACCTTACAAATAAGACTCCGAGAGGTACAGTGGCTTGGCCTCCTGGAGTCTTTGGCTCTGTTTGGCTACTGGGGAAGGCATGTGCCTTGGTTGGTTTGGAGAACAGGCAGATAGTTTAAAAGGATCATCTTGTATTCAGGCTGGAGTTTGAGGAAGGAGCAAGTTACCTTTTCTTGGCGCTCCCTGCCCCTGTCCCATGCAGGATAGCAGCTCTCGGACGACCCTGCACCCTCCCTTTTCTTTCAGAGGAGAATCTGCTTCTTTTTAAGTTCTTCTCTGATGCTCTCTGGCTGGGGCTGAGTTCTGTCTGGTTCCGCCTCACAGTGCAATCTATTTCCTAAATGTAGCTGGTTTTCCCTACATGTCACTTTTCCACCCCTTGCCCCAAGATGCCTTCATAGCCGGGAGGTGTCTCTGTAACACGCAAAGCACCCTGAGTGTGGGGATTGGGGGGTGGATTTACATTTGCTTCTCCTGACCTGGCAGGCACAGCCATTCCAGCGGTGGCATCTCGCTCCCAGTCCCAAGGTTATCAGGGCACAGGGGAGGCCGTGGCTTGGTGTTTGAAGACAGCTTTGACCTTGGATGAGACCATGCCTGTGTCTGGTCACCCTCGTTCCATGCACCTGGCCTGTTGGTGTTTGGTCCAAATAGAGTGTCGGTTAGGAATCACCCACTGTTGCCCTTTCACTTGACAAGTGAGGAAACTGAGGCTCGGACATTGAGTGATGTGTCCAAGGCCACACTGGATTCGAATTTGAGCTGAGATGGAGTGCAAACCCCAGATTTCTGTCTTAGTCCAGGGCTCCTTCTGTCACAGTGCAGATACTGGGACTGCCCAAACTTAGGGACTCTTCTGGGAATGCCTCTCTGTCCCTCAGGAGAGCCCTTGCCCTGCCTGAGGGCAGAGACCAGCTGTGCAAATCCTGATAGAAACCCCAGCTCACTCAGGCTCTTAGTGACTTAACTCAGGTGGTATCACTGCTCTTTATATCATCCCCTCCCCCACCCCAGAGCCTTCCACCCCTCCCTCACCCTGTCCACACTGCACACCTTATCCAAGTTCTAGGTGGATGGGCCTCAGGTCAGATCTCAGCTCTGCTACTTAACTGCTCTGTGGCTTGGGGCAAGTGACTTTCCCTCTCTGAGCCTTGGTTTCTTCATCTGTCAGATGGGAACAATATACTGCATAGAATTATGAAGATCAAATGAGGGGTTTTAGGTAGCTCGGCCGGGGGTGGAAGCTCAGTCACCTGAACTCCCTGCTGACGTCAGGCTCACTCTTTTCCAGGGCATGGGCTACCTTCATGCCAAGGGCATTGTGCACAAAGATCTCAAATCTAAGAACGTCTTCTATGACAATGGCAAAGTGGTCATCACAGACTTCGGGCTGTTTGGGATCTCGGGCGTGGTCCGAGAAGGACGGTGAGTCGGCGTGGGTGTCTGGTGGGGTGGGGGAGCTGGGTGGCGATGGGTGGGCTTGGGGTCTGGCTGTGAGTGGCTGGGGTTGCTTTGGTCCTGCCCTTGTGGTTCTGGTCTGGAATCAGGTTTGGGTCACATTTAGATTCTCAGGCTGATCCCCGTGGAGGCTGGGTCCCCACACTCACATTTGCCCTGGCTATTCCCGGACTTGGGCAAGCAACCAGGATTCACGTCCCCGTGATGAGAAAGAGAGTCAAGTTTTGTTTTTGGGTTTTTTTTTTATTTTTTTTTTTGAGACAGAGTCTCGATTTGCTGCCCAGGCTAGAGTGAGTGCCGTGGCGTCAGCCTAGCTCACAGCAACCTCAAACTCCTGGGCTCAAGCAATCCTCCTGCCTCAGCCTCCCAAGTAGCTGGGACTACAGGCATGCACCACCATGCCCGGCTAATTTCTTCTATATATATTAGTTGGCCAATTAATTTCATTCTATTTATAGTAGAGACGGGGTCTCGCTCTTGCTCAGGCTGGTTTTGAACTCCTGACCTCGAGCAATCCGCCCTTCTCGGCCTCCCAGAGTGCTAGGATTACAGGCGTGAGCCACCACGCCCGGCCGAGGATCAAGTTTTATTTCCCCAAATCTTGAAGGGGTCGGTATGGGGAGAAAGGCTCCTCCCCAAGCATCTGGGGGGGACCATGGAAGGGAGACTGGCCCCCAGGCTGCAGAGCCCGCTCCAGGCAGGTTTGCAGGCTGCAGGTGGGTGTGGATTTCTGGTTGGCGATGTACCCCCTCCTAGCATAGAGATTCCACACTTTCAAGTGCAGCTCCCTGTCAGTGCCGTCCTGGCCTGCTTTCCTAGAAAAACCTGGTTATGATTCTTTTGTAACATTCTCCGAGAACACCGGTGCCTTTGCAAGTACAGGATCAACATGCTGGGTCCGGGTGCTTTCTCTGAGCTGTGCGTGCGCTGCTGGCCCCGGGGCACGCGTGTGCCAGGCAGGCCTCTTTGCTGCCTGCTGAAAGGCCCGTGTCCTTGTCCTGGCTTCTTGGCCTCCAGGAGGGAGAACCAGCTGAAGCTGTCACACGACTGGCTGTGCTACCTGGCCCCGGAGATCGTGCGCGAGATGACCCCCGGGAAGGACGAGGATCAGCTGCCGTTCTCCAAAGCCGCCGACGTCTACGCTTTTGGGTGAGCAGGCCCCTCGTGCTCCGAGGCCTAGTGTGGCCAAAAGAGAGGGCCCTGGTGGCCATCGGGGCAGGGAACCGGGTGTCCTGCCCGCCAGGCTCTGGTGCCCCCCAGAGAGCTGTGTGCCGACTAGTAGGAATAAACTGTGAGTCAGATACAGAATTCACAATTTCCTAGTAGCCATATAAAAGAGAAACAGGTGAAATTAGTTTCAATAGTATATTTTAGTTAATTCAATATATCTAAAATATTATTTGAGCATGTAATGAACATACAAAATTAATGAGATATTTTATGTTCTTTTTTCTTACTAAGTCTTCAAAATCTAGTGTGCGTTTCTCACCTCCAGCACACCTCAGTTTACCTGTCCCCACCTCAGTTGCTCAGTAGCCCCCTGTGGCGAGTGGCCCCCACATGGGACACTGCAGGACTGACGGGGATAGTCCCGTCCTAACAACCCAGGGAGGCTCCGCACCCGGCCACCCTGTGCTCTCTCTGGGTTTCCTTCCCACGGTGGCCTGGGCGCTGTCTCTTCCTCCCTTGCCTTTAGCTGTATCACTTCCTGAGCTCCGATGTGTGCCAGGCGCTGGGCTTGGCATTTCTGTTACTCTGGAGGTGTCGGCCCCACTGAGGTCAGGCAGTTGTACCCGGATCCCCCGGCTAGAAAGCGGCAGGACCTCTACCACCACGGCAGCAGGGCCCAGATTCTGCAGGACAGGGAGAAGCCTCCAGATGCCATCATGGCATCCCTGAAGCCTGGCAGGTGAGGAGCCAGGCCGGAGTAGGACCCTGGTCCTCTGGCTTGGCTCCTGGCTTTGGGTAGCAGGTTCTCTGGTCCCAGAGCCCTGGGGCATGAGCTGGCTGAGCCATCAGGAGCTCACGCTGTGGATGGGTCTCCTCAGGACTATCTGGTATGAGCTACAAGCAAGAGACTGGCCCTTTAAGAACCAAGCTGCAGAGGCCTTGATCTGGCAGATCGGCAGCGGGGAAGGAATGAAGCGCGTCCTGGCGTCTGTCAGCCTGGGGAAGGAAGTCAGCGTGAGTCACCACCTGCTCTGGGAGAGAGAGGGAAGCAGGGCCGAGGGTGGGGCTGGGCTCATGACACCGCTGCCCTTCACTGACCCCCCTGGCAAGCGGGACCAGAGGGGGCTCTGCTGCCTGGAGGTGTCATAATTAGCAATTAGCACAGTGCACACGACTGAAGACGGGGACCCATAGCGGAGAAAATAAAACCATCCATCTCACCCCACTGGTCACTTCTCTCATTTCCTTCCAGTCTTTTGTTTAAAAAAAGATAATGGTTTTCACTGATTTACGAGATGAAAAGAGAATAAACCCCTGTACATTATTTACGTGAAAGAAGATAATAAAAAATAATCGCTGCTCAAAACACAAATAGTAGGGTTATGCTGTGGTATCAGATCTTTCTCCATAATGTTTTTATTGACTGTTCAGGAACAGATCGAAGTTTCCACGGCAGACTCGTTTTCAAGATGCTGAATCTTAGTTATAGTGGCTGGCTTCTCGTTTCTGGATGGCTTCTGTGCATTTGTGAGTTTCCTTGTCCTGGCGCAGTGGAATGTGAAGAAACCCCAGGGCTTGACGTTTTCAGTGCGATCAGTGATAACCACGTGTGCACGAGTCACGTAGGATTCAGGCAGAACAGCTTTATGTTACTAGGTAACTCCAGTAGGTGTCTGGCCAGCATCACGGGACGTGCTCAGAGGGACCACCTCGCACCTGTGCAGGTTAAGATCTCAGTGGACCGTGAGCTGCTTGTTAAAGTCACTGGCAGCGTCGCTGTCTGTGAACCCCGGACAGGCACAGTGATGAATTCAGTCTCTCTACCCTCTCCGCCTCCAAAGTCACCGGCGTCTTGCTTCATGAGCTCTTCACTCTCCGTCACTCTGTCCCTTCCGCCGCGAGCTTAGGTCAGCTTTCCCCTCACTCATGTGTCGCTAAGGTTGATGCCACGTTTGCCTGGGTAAATCTTGCACGCTGGGTCTGCAGACTGAGGCTAAGCGGGAAGACAGCAGGCAGTGTGTGCGCTGTTACCTTAGACCGTAAGTGCGTTGCCCGCTGGTCAGGCAGGTGCCTGGGGTGACATTTTCTTCTTTGTGGGTCCGTCTCTTCCACTTTGTTACTCAAAGGCCCGCAATTTTTTTTTTTTTTTTTTTTTGAGACAGAGTCTCGATTTGTTGTCCAGGCTAGAGTGAGTGCCGTGGTGTCAGCCTAGCTCACAGCAACCTCAAACTCCTGGGCTCCAGTGATCCTTCTGCCTCAGCCTCCCGAGTAGCTGGACTATAGGCATGCACCACCATGCCCGGCTAATTTTTTATATATATATCAGTTGGCCAATTAATTTCTTTCTATTTATAGTAGAGACGGGGTCTCGCTCTTCTCAGGCTGTTTGAACTCCTGACCTTGAGCAATCCGCCGCTCGGCCTCCAGAGCTAGGATTACAGGCGTGAGCCACAGCGCCCGGCGTAAGCCTGCAATTTGATGGCTTCACATTTGGACTGTGGCTTTCAAAATTGTGCAGTGTTAGTTTTTCCCTGTAGTTTTTAACTGTCTTTTTTTTTCCTTGTTGAGAGAGGAAACAAGCACCTTTATCATATTCCTGAGGTTTTATTTTTTTTTATTTTTATTTTTTGAGACAGAGTCTCGCTTTGTTGCTCAGGCTAGAGTTAGTGCCGTGGCGTCAGCCTAGCTCACAGCAACCTCAAACTCCTGGGCTCAAGCGATCCTCCTGCCTCAGCCTCCTGAGTAGCTGGGACTACAGGCACGCACCACCATGCCCAGCTAATTTTTCTATATATATTAGTTAGCCAATTAATTTATTCTATTATTAGTAGAGACGGGGTCTCGCTCTCACTCAGGCTGGTTTTGAACTCCTGACCTTGAGCAATCCGCCCCCTCGGCCTCCCAGAGTGCTAGGATTACTGGCGTGAGCCACGTGCCCGGCCCCTGAGGTCTTTTAGCGCCTTCTTCGTTCTGTTTATGGAATGGAACTTGTGCCATTCTTTTAAGAGCCCTTTCTGATTTCTCATCATCGAATCTGTGGGCTTTTAGGTCTGCCTGCACGGCTGTTACCTTCCGTTTTCTGTTCATTCCTTCCTGGGGCAGTTGCACTGTCCTTGTGTCTCATGTCTGCCCTTCTCTTTATTTGCACTCCAGCAACATGACAGAGAAACCTAAAGAAACTCTCTCCCAATGGATGAATGGGAGATAATCTTTGCGTGCCTAAAAAAGTTCTTATTTTGTCCACATAGCGGGAGTAGAATTTTAAGTTCATGTAATTTTCCTCAGAACAGAAAGATTTTGCTCTGCTGTCTGCTAAGTGTCCAGTGCATTGTTGAAAAATTCAGTTTTGGTCTGATTCACAACCTTTTGTAGACTCTTATTTCTTCTGGAAGCATCTAGGATTTCTCTTTATCTTTGCTGTAGTGAAATTTTATATGTGTGAGTTTAGGGTTTTCTGCTGTTTTGCTTTTAGTGAAGTCCCTTTATTGGGCCTTTTCAGCTGAAGACTCCTGTTTGATTTGGAAATTTCTGGGAAATTTTCTATTATGTCTACGATAATTTTCTGCCAAGTGGTTTGTTTCTTTGTGGAATTCATGCTCAACAGAATCTAGTTCTTAGTGAGCCTCCGTGTATTTTACCTCCTTTCATATTTTCCATCCTGTCTAAATTGGGTTCACAATCTGAGGAATTTCTCAGTTTATCTTCTGGTACTTCTAATGTTGGTTCAGAAAATATATTCAATTTCAAGTACTTCCTTATTTGTTGGTTTCTTCTTTATTGTACTCTGTCTGTTGTTTTATGGATAGAATAGCTCTCTCTCTCTCTCTCTCACACACACACACACACACACACACACACACTGTATCCTCCAAAGACGATATTTTGATCCGTATGTCTTTGGTCTCTGGTTTTCCTAATACGGCAGGCAACCCCATGGGGTCGCATTGTATTTAAGAAAAAAAAAAGCCCAAGTTGCTGAGTCTAGGTGGTGTGTGCCTTCTGCCGCATGTTCCATCGTTCCGTTCCGGCCCATCTCCTCACAGGCGGGTCCCCTGAATCGGAAGGCCGAGGGGTGCAAAGTGTACACGCGCAGATCCTGAGAGCAGGTGGCAAAATGCCACAGTGCAAAGGGCTTTCCTTGGGGGTGGGGGTGGGGCTGGCTGTTGGGACAGCTGTTTCTGCCGATTCTCAGCTGCTTCCCCTGTATTTAGTTGTCCTTGTCACTCCGGGCCTCCATTCTGGTGACACTGAGGCTCCCACCTCTGCAGCAGGCCCCGCATGTCTTCTGAGCATCTTGCTTTTTGCATTAACTTGTGGACATTGTGCCGTCCATTTTGCGTCATCTAAAAACCAACAACCCCATTTCTGACCTCTGTCCCACCACCAGTCTGCCAACATGGTTACTCTTATTTGGGGTAGGGGCTCATCTAAGAAGGAAGGAATGGAGGCAAACTCATGTACTTCGTCTTGAACTAGAAGCATGAGAGCTCTTCTGAAACAGTTGTTTCTCGGCTCTGCAGGTTGGCAGGGTGTTCAGAGGGCCGCCCGCCAGGGGGTGCTCGAGAGCATTGCAGGGGCCCGTTGTGGAGCACTCTGCTGTGCCGCCTTTTGTTTTCTTTTCCTCCCAGCCATCCTACACACCGCTAATGGCAGGTCTGTTTGCAGGAGATCCTGTCTGCCTGCTGGGCTTTTGACCTGCAGGAGAGACCCAGCTTCAGCCTGCTGATGGACATGCTGGAGAAGCTGCCCAAGCTGAACCGACGGCTCTCCCACCCTGGGCACTTCTGGAAGTCGGCTGAGTAAGTTCCCTTCAGTGTGCCAGAACCTGCCCGCCAGGCCTTACCTGGGGTCATGGAGGCACCTTCTGCTCTGTCTGCCCAAGATTTTGGGGAATGCACCAAGCTGATTAGCTAGAGGTGACTCATCCCTTTGCCCAAGTGACACCAAGAATTTCCATTTACCAAGTTTATTTTGGAGACTCGCTTTGACAGGCAGGCACCTCCAGTTCACATCTGTGAAAAACTGCACGTCGCTGTTATGAGACCAGCACTGACGCCAGGCCAGGACTAGGAGGCTCTGCCTAGGAAGGGGCAAGATGGGCCAGTTGGGAGTCAGAGTGACGTGGTACTGAGTGTCACCAACATAAGCAGAGTCCATATTGCTTACAGTGGCAGTGACTCAAACACAGAGCTCTTTAGCGCAAAAGGCCAGCCACCTGTTAGGGGACCACACATTGCGTGGGTTTACATGGTGCTTTGATGCTAGAGGCTCCCTCCTCTGTTTAATCGCACAGCCCTTTGCACCCCTTGGTGCTGCTGCTCTGGGCAGCTAAGGCCTCTGTCATTTCTCCTGCATTCTGTCTCTTCCCTTTTCTCCTTTGTTCCTCTGGCTGCCTCTGCCAGAACACTCAAAAGAGACCTCTACCTGCCTTGAATGCTTCGTGAGAACCCAGGGAAGTTCTTCCTCGTGCTGGGCCTCGCTCTCTGCAGCTTTAGAAAGCCGAGGTAGGGCAAGATGCAGGGTGGCCAGGTGGTGCATAGTTTCTGCAGACCAGGTGGGCAGTTCGAGGCCTTCACACCTGCGATCCTAGCACGGGAGCAGCCACAGGCGAAGCTTGCGCCAGGGAGCTGGCTGCATTCCAGTAGCCCTTGATTCTGGAAATCAGAGTTTCGAGGAACTTTTCCATGTCATAAAATACTCTTCTTTTGATTTTTTTCCTCCCCAACCATTTAGAAAGGTACAAACTATTCTTAGTCTTCGGATTGTACAGAAACAGGGGACGGGCCACACTTGACCCACAGGCTGGGCTCCTGGACGAGATGAACAGTTTTAAACTGTTTTAAGGTGAAGGACACTTTGTGAAAGTGAAGTCACCCTCAGAGCCCCAGTGTATAAAACAGTTGAAGTGGTGCCATTCTTGATGGAAATAGGGGCCAGAGCCTGTCTGCCACCCCCTGCCCTGGTTGCCCCGGAGGCCCCAGTGCCTGCACACGTGTCCTGACCCTGAGGAGCTGCGTACCCAGCAGTCGCACCTGGTGCCCAGGTGTGTGATGGCAGCAGCGTTCCTTGTCCTAGAAAGGGCCAGGTAGGAAATAGCTTAGGCTTGCAGGTGATACAGTCTATTATGTGTCTTTTTTTTTTTTTTTTCCAAATATTTTTTAAAATGGTCAAAACCTTTCTCAGCTCGTGGCCAGATTTGGTTTGCACACACCTTGCCAGCCCCGGGGAGAGGCCCCGCGTGAGGCCCTCAAACAGAGGATGCGAGTCGGGGAAGTCGGTGAGGAAACACCTCACGCCCTGCAGATTTGGGCCAGTTGCAGGGACGGTTGAGAGGAACACCAGTTCGGGGTTAGGAACACCGTATCCTCTAATGCAATACTGGATTCAGTATTTTGCTCTTAGGACGGGTCAGAGTGCAAGTTACCCCATATTTAGGGGTGTGAGTTTTGCTCAGCCATTTGCTGCGTACCTGCTACACACCTGGGAGACACACATGGCCAAGACCAGGTGTCCACCAGCAAGGAAGTCACAGTCTAGTCGGGAATAAAGACAGACAGACGCACTATAGTGACACCTCCGTCTTGTCACCTTTATATTCCCAACTCCTAGCACAGTCCCAGGGACGTAACAGCTGGTCAGTAAATATTTAATGGGTATGTGAATGCATAAGCAAATGATGACAACAAGCTGAGTGCCATGGGAAAGCACAGAATGGCCTGTCCCCCACACGAGGGGCTTGAGAAAGGCCTGCAGAAGGAGGTCATCAGAGCCAGGTTTTTTATTTTTTTTGAGACAGAGTCTCACTTTGTTGCCCAGGCTAGAGTGAGTGCCGTGGCATCAGCCTAGCTCACAGCAACCTCAAACTCCTGGGCTCAAGCGACATTCCTGCCTCAGCCTCCCGAGTAGCTGGGACTACAGGCATGTGCCACCATGCCTGGCTAATTTTTTCTATATATATATTAGTTGGCCAATTAATTTCTTTCTATTTATAGTAGAGACGGAGTCTTGCTCAGGCTGGTTTCGAACTCCTGACCTCGAGCAATCCACCCGCCTCGGCCTCCCAGAGTGCTAGGATTACAGGTGTGAGCCACCGCGCTCGGCCTCAGAGCCAGGTTTTGAACCGGAACTGTCCCCACAGAGAGCAGTTCAAGGAACGTGACCTGAAGCCAGGTTTTGAACCGGAACTGTCCCCACAGAGAGCAGTTCAAGGAACGTGACGTGAGGCGGCAGGGCTGAGCTCTGGGCTGGTCCTGTCAGACCTCGGGCAACTCCATTAACGACCTGGGCCCTGAGTTTCTCATCCATGAAAGGGAAGGCTGCACAGGGTGGGCTCTGCATTCAGGGGATGATTCCATATACCCCTAAAACCAGACCAGCCCCACCTTCTCATGTCATGGCTGGGAAACTGAGTCACAAATGGGGGAAGGGAAAGCACGCCAGCCTACCTGAACCAGTCTGTGTCCAAGCTTCCTGGTCACAATGTTTACTTTCTCTTTTCTTTCCCATTGTCTTGTTACTCTTTTTTTTTTTTATTTCCGGGGGGGGGTGGCGGATGTGCTGTCCTGTCCTGTCATCTCCCCCTTTCCCACCACGCTGACTCCTTCGCCTGTCTGCGGGGGCCGGCACGACCACCTGCGGGGGCTGGACTGCTCTTTTCCCACACCTGGCGCCATGGTTGCGGGGCACTTCCAGCCGCTGGAGGAGCCGCTACTACGGGAAAGGACGCTACGGCCACCCCGACTTTAAGAACTCCTGTCCGGTTCTGGAGGAATAGTGTGTCTCCTGTCACTCCCCTCACTCTCGCCCTGTTTGCGGTTGTCCCCTTGCGCACCCTGCTTCCCGTGTGCCTGCATCCCAACTTCCCATCTTCGTGTGATTTATTCCCTGAAACCAAGTGGCGTTCTTGCAGCTCACACGGCCACCAGCAAGGGCCACACAGGCTCGTGTCTCCCTCCATGGGCGAGAGAAGGCAGGGCGAGAACTCAGATTGTTGATTTCAGTCCCCAGGGTGGCCGCTGGCCAGAACCCAAAAGAAGGGACTCCAATGAGCAAAAATGCTCCCAGAAGTAAATTCTGATAGTTGCGGGCTGAGCGCCGTGGGCCTGGGAGCCGGCCTCTCTATGAGCATCCTGTGATGGGGCCTGCGGGCTCTTGGAGAAGCGCCTTTGTGCCCGGGCTCTCTTCCAAGCTCACCGTGCCGCCCCGCCTGGGGAATGGAGGTGGGGAACCTCCCGTCTCTCTGCAGCGACAGCAGGTCCCCTGCCCAGCCGCTCTGGCCAGGCCTCCAGCTCCCCCAGGTGCACGGCTGGGCTCCGGCTCTGACGCTGCTCTCCCTTCTCTCCCCCTGTAGGTTGTAGGCCCTGCCGCTTTGTGCCCAGCGGGGCCTTCCTCCCTCCTAACCGGCAGCTCGGCACCGTGACTTCTGCTAAAACGCAAACTGAGATACGGGCACTAACCCGGGGGACGCGAGCTCTGCTGCTCCAGTCTGCTCGCCCGAGACTTCCTTTGCTTTGTCTGTTTTCACAACCGGCCCTCCCCCCTCTCTGCGTGACCTGCGTGTGGCCGAGTGGCTGTTCTCGGAGGATCCTACTAACTGAGCTCCCTCCAAGGCGGTCGGAGCAGCTTCTAACCACCTTCCTGGACGTGACTTGTATTTCCGTCTCGTGCTCCATCCGAGGGCTGGTCTTGTTTCCGTTCGGGTGGCCCTGTCTCGCTGCTAACACCTCCGTGAGAGCTGTCCCGCCCGCCTGGCACACCAGGCTCGCGGGGAGGGGTTCTGCTTGGCGTCTAACCCGCGGGGGTCTTGCCCAGCACGGAGTGGAGTGGTTTCAGAGCTGCCCAGAGGCCAGCACCCCGGTCACAGACCCTCTTCCCGGTCCCTCTCAGTCCCCTCCGGAGATGGGGGCAGGAGGCACGGAAAGTTCAGTTGCCGTGATGACACCAGCTTGGGAGGGTTGTGTCGGCGGCGGCAGGCTCCGGAACGCTGTCCTAGAGCAGCGGGATGCCTGTCTCCAGACAAGTTCGCTGATGAAAACAAAGCTGCTGCCCCCACGCCCCGCCCTGGCAAAGTGACTCCCTTTACATGTGCCCAGTGCTCCGCAGGCCGGCGTTCATCAGGAGTGTGGCCGGTGGGCCACCCGCGACAGAGGCACCACACTGTTTGCTAAACGCAGAGTCCCGCCCACCCTCCCCGGCGTCACCTGCCGGGGCCAGATCTCTGCACTCAAGCTCTGGGAATCTGCATTTCACCCCGCTTCCCGGGTGGCCCCGGTGCACCCCAGCACTTGAGTCGATTTCTAAAAGGAGCGTGGGCCGTCACTCCTGGCCCTGGGAGTCAGGTTTTAATGCTCGCCCAGTTCCCGGGCTGCAAACGAGAAAACGATTCGGACAAGCCCACGCCGAGTGCTGGGAGCTCGGGAGTCAGACGAGCTGCGGTCGCCGGCCAGGGGCAGCTCTGCCGAGGCTGTTGCCAAACAATTGGTCTCACTTGCCGGTATGCGGGCGGGGGCCTCTGCTGAGCTTCTGGAACTAGCCCATTTCGTACGTGACTAGTGTGACCCTAATTCTGATCAGGACCAGCAGAGCTGTGACCCTTGTTTTTGTTCCTCTTTGCAGCATTAACAGCAAAGTCGTGCCCCGGTTTGAAAGGTTTGGCTTGGGCGTCCTGGAGTCCAGTAATCCAAAGATGTAGCCCGCCGTGCAGTTTTTCTGCTGCCTGTTTATTTCTTTTTCAAATGTGTTTCCAAAACACCCAAACGACCACCACGACAAAAAACACACTCCGCCCGCCCGGCACTCTGCAAACGGGAGCACGGGGACGGAGCTGCACCTGCTGCGTCTTGAAACGACACCGCCAACCACCAAACCCGTCCCGGCCGACAGCGGATGTTTACATGTGTGTTTCTGCTTGGTGAACTTGATGTTTTACAGTAGTAATAATGAGAACAGCCTGTGTGTAGGTGCACTGGCACCGATGGCCAGGACGGCAGGAGTGGCCGTCCCCTCTGGAGGACCCGGCAGGCAGTGACGGGCCCACGCTGGGCAGAAGGAAGAAAAGCATCGTGACTGTGGCTGCTCTCGGGTGGGGCAAGGGGCCCATGAGGTCTGGGCCGGCCCCTGCTTTCCCCACCAGTGGGGAATCTCCCTCTGTAGGGTCCTCTCCTCGTCCTATCACAGGGACACTGTCCCTCCCTCATCTTGCAGAGGAAACCCTGGCAGGGAACCAACCTGAATTACAGGGCTCCGGAGCTCCCAGAGAGCTTGGACCTCAAGCCCTGTACTCCAGGCTGTTCCTGCTGGAAAAGTAGAGACGGAATTCAAATGACATCTGGGCTCATCCAGCGGTTCCCAGCCAGGGCTTCTGCCGCAAGGCGAGGAAACATCCACGTGCCTGTACAGATGTCTCTTTTTTAAAGGCAGGCACTGATGGGATGGACCTGAGGTCCCCGGCTTTTGGACACATCCTGGTCCCTGACTGACATTTGACCGTAGGGCTGAGGGCCAGCCCAGCAGCTATGGGGGACCATGAGAGCTCGGTGGGTGGGAACTAGGAAGATGAGGGAGGGCAGGGGAGTGGGCAGCAGCAGGTACCTAACCCCCTTCCTGGCTGCAGGGTGACCCTGGCACTTTAGAAACCCATCATCAGTCATGCCAGAAGGTTCCGGAACTACCCACCTCTTCCACTTCCACTTCTCCAGTCCTATTGAAACCCCTTAGCCCGTTCCTGACTCCTCTGTGCGTGCTTTGAGCTCAGACGGGGGCAGGTGGCCTGCGTCCACGCCTTTCGTTTGGACCCACCCAGCAAGCCCCATCCGCAGAGCTTTCCCCAGCACCGCCAGGCGTCTGCGTGAGTCCCTTTGAGCCAGAGGAGGGGCTGCATTTGGGAAAGTCTTTGACCTGAGAGCGCCACACCTGTCTTCGTTAGAAACTGTCACCCACAGAGAAAAGTTCCAAATGGCAAAGAAGCCCTTAAGTGGAGGTTAGGTTACACTGGGCTCCAAGACAGAAGGGGAGGGGGGTGAAGGGTGGAGATGTGATTGGATTCAGGCCCAGGACCTGCGGCCCTGCTCTGAGCTCAGATTGGGAGCCGGGGAGGCCTGTGGCTCCCCCATCCCTCTCAGTTAGGCCCACCTAGTAGAGCCCCCGACTTCCAGAGCCTTTCCTAGCCCTGGAGTGTGGTCTAAACACCGGATGACACGGGCCACTCTGCTCTTCCCTCTCTTCAAGCCGAGTGCTCCTTGGGCAGCCCCTCCTGGGGGGGGGGGGCGCAGCAGTGCAGGCGTGCCCTGGGACGTTAGCATCCTGGCCCTTTCCGCTCAGGGTGTGGGGAGGAAGGAGGACTTGCAAGCCACTTGGGTTCAGCTCTGTTTGGGGCTTTTCTGTGTGTGGTGGGACTGTTCATTTCACCCCATCATCCCTTTGGCCTACCATATGGCTGCACCTTCCCAGAGATCGCAGTGTGTGTGTCTCCAGTATGTCACCTTTCCACTGTGACGTTGGCCCTTGCCCAGGCGAGAGCAGGCCCAGTGCAGTGCTGGTGAGCCCCCGGGTTGGGCAGCAGCTGAAATGAGTCAGGCTCAGCTCCTCCCTGACCCCAGGCCACAGTGGGCACCGCAGCCCACAGAAAGTCTGGGTTTTGCTTTCTCTTGTGAGTGTCATAGTTCTAGAAGCCCTCATGGAACACCTATGGTGTACCTGGTGCTGTGCAAGTGCTGGGGACCTAGAGGTAGGAGCAGGCACCGTCCTCACCCTTAAGGAACCGACGATCCGATGGGGGCCTGTGATCTGCCAGGAACCCAGAAGCCACTTGGCCGCAAGGGTGGAGCTGAGGACCTGAGGGACACCCTCTTCCCTCCTCTCCAAGGCCCTGGGCAGACTGTCAGCCTGCTGCCTCTGCACTGCCTGTCATTTAAGAACCCCACCACGATGGTCCCCTTCTCCCTTTTTTATTTAAGTGACTGTGAATGGCAGTTAGGAAGATGCGCGTGCCCTTCTGTGTGCCCTGTCCGTCTGCCTTGGAAACACACGAAGGACGACAGATACTGTGAATTCAGCCCTCACGGCGACTGTGAAGGGGACGGAGAAGGGTGGGAGGGCTTGGCGACAGCTCTCGGGGGCCGTGGAAGTCCCCACTGGGGTCTGAGCGTGGAGCTCGAGCTTTGATCCTTCGCGGCGCCCCAGGTGCCCAGCCTCCCCTCCGAAGCCCTGCTGCCTTTAACCACCAGAGCCGCAGCCCGCTGGGCTCGTGTCCAGCTCGACGTTGTGAGCCACAGCTAGCTCTGGGTTCGTTGTGAGCGCGTGTAGCAAAGTCGATCTCTCCACGGCACCAAATCAAAACGCCCTCTGTCATCTCCTGGCATTTCTTCTTGTCACAGAGAGGAATGGCAAGCCCTGTAAGCCTCTGTTGTTCGTGTTGGTTTGGAGCGGGGAGAGGGCGGAGACGAACGTGAAGCCAGCTGGGTAGTCTGTGCTGTGCTGTGACGTCAGCCGGGATTCATCAGTGTGTGCGGACCCAGTGTCTGCTGTGGCCACAGGGCACACACTTGCTCTTTTTGAATGTGATGTAAAATTTGTACAGTAAAAGTTTTTATATTTTCTATCAACTGCATTTGTCTTCCAGAAATGCTATTAATTTAAATTAAAATGGTTAGTATTAACAAATGTGCTGTATCGGGGTTGTTTTTTTTTTTGCCACTAGCAAGAATAATGGCCTCTGTGCTGAGCCAGGCCGGGTGTCTGGAGTTTGTGAATAAAGTTATGCCAAGGTGTCCCGGGGCTTGTGTTTGCTTTGGTGGGTTGCAGGAGAGTGTTGGGGACCACTTGCATGGATGACATAGGAGGACAGGAATGGACGGGTCAGGGGGTGTTTGAACCCCCTGTAGGGGTTAAGGAGCTCCTTCCAAAGGAAGAGGGAAGTTATACTTGGATGTCAGAAGCCAGTATTTCTGAACAGATGGAGGAATCGAGAAGGAACGGTGTCGGAAGTCCATGGTGCACAGAGGAAGATTACCCAGCACCCAACAGTAACAAAGCCCATGAGCAGACCCAGACCCAGTCAGTACCTCCCTTGGCTGGAGGTGCCTTTGAGGTGGGACAGTGTCCATCTAAATCTAATTTCTAGGAGCCTCTTGTTACCAGTTACATATACAGAGGTGGTGCTTGCTTTGGAGGTTGGGGTAAGCAGAATAGGTGGAGGAAGAGGACATTTGTGGGACCCCCTGCTGGGAGCCAGGGGGTGTTTTCTAGACCTTACCTCTCATATCAGTGCTATCAGGTAGGAATCTTGACGTTTCAGCTGAAGAAACAGGTTCTGAGAGCTTAAGGTGTTCATCCAAGATCACAGAGATGGGAGTGGGTAGTCCAAGACTCAGGCCACAGCTTGGACTCTTGCTGGATGGATGTATCAAAGGCCTAAATGTAAGAACTAAAACTATAAAACTCTTAGAAGAAAATTATAGCAAAAGCTTACGACATTGGACTTGGCAATGATTTCTTAGGTATAACACCAAAGACATAGGCAAAAACAAACAAAAAATCTTACAACTGGACTTCATGAAAATTTTAAAATTGTGTGGATCAAAGACAATACAGTAAAAGGCAACCTACAGAATGGGAGAAAGTATCTGCCTATCATATATCTGATAAGGAACTGATATCCCAAAATATATGGAAAACTAAAATTTCACAATAAACTTGATTCAGAAATAGGCAAAGGACTTAAATAGACATTTCTTCAAAGAATATATGCAGGTGGCCAATAGACATGTGAAAAATGCTCAATATCACTAATCATCAGGGAACTACAAGTTAAAACTGAGATTCTGCCTCAAACTCATTAGGATGGCTGCCATCCAACAACAACAAGAAAAAGACGAGTGTTGGTGAGGATGTGGAGAAATGAGAACACTTGTGCACTGTTGGTGGAAATGTAAAATGGTATCGCTGCTGTGAAAAACAGTATGGGAGTTCCTCAAAAAATTAAAAATAGAATTGCCATATAATCTAGCAATTCTGCTTCTGCGTATATACCCACAAGAATTGCAAACAGGGTCTTGAAGAGATGTTTGTACACCTGTGTTCATAGCAGCATTATTCACATAGCTAAAACAGGGAAGTAGCCCAAGTGTCCTTGGTGGGTGAACAGGTAAGCAAAATGTGGTATATATGTATGTACATATTCAGCCTTAAAAAGGAAGGGCATTCTGCAATATGCTACAACGTGCATGGACCCTGAATGCTAAGTGACATAAGCCAGTCACAAAAAGACAAATACCATATGGCTGCACTTATAAGTAATGCACTATAGTAATGTCAAATCCAAATAACAGAAGGTTTCTAAAAGAAAATATTTATTCAGGACTAGCATTGCAAAGGGAACATGCGTGGCATAGTAAACTATACGTGTATTCAAAGAGGTTGGAGGATGGGGGGTTGAGTAGGATTGCAAAAATTGTTTTGAATCCATTATTTTTGGCTACCAGGTTCAGTAACAAATGTGGTATCAGTCCAAGGTTGGACGGTTGCTGGACAAACATCCTTGCAGAAGTATTTTCTGTGGTTGTACTTTTCAGGTTGCAGTGGTGCAATGTTGTGGTTTTTGTAGTCTTTTGTGATAGTTCTTATTAGTGTGTGAGAACCCTCCCTTCATGGCCTTCCCTAGCTCCCTTTGTCAGAGTTTTAACACAAGTGACTCCATTTTGATTCTGACGACTTTCACATCTTCCCCTTTCGATTAAGATGTTTCTCTTAAAGCAGCGGTCCCCAACCTTTTTGGCACCAGGGACCAGTTTCATGGAAGACAGTTTTTCCAGGGACCGGTCAGGTAGGGGATGGTTTCGGGATGATTCAAGAGCGTGACATTTATTGTGCACTTTGTTTCTATTATTATCACTTTGTAATAGATACCGAACTAATTGTACAACTCACCATAATGCAGAATCAGTGGGAGCCCTGAGCTTGTTTTCCTGCAACTAGATGGTCCCATCTGGGTATGATGGGAGACAGTTGATTTATTATGGTCTCTGTGCAGTCAAACCTCTCTGCTAATGATAATCTGTATTTGCAGCTGCTCCCCAGCAATAGTATCACTGCCTCAGCTCCACCTCACATCATCGGGCATTAGATTCTCATTAGGAGCCGCAACCTAGATCCCTCGCATGCGCAATTTATAGTAGGGTTTGCTCTCCTATGAGAATCTAATGACCCCACTGACCCGACAGGAGGTGGAGCTTGAACAGTGATGCCAGCAGTGGAGAGCGGCTGTAAATACAGATGAAGCTCCACTGGCTGGGCAGTGGCCTCCCTCCTGCTGTGCAGCCCGGCTCCTAACCGGCCACGGACTGGTACTGGGTTGGGGACCACAGTCTTAAAGCCCTGCTGACCAATCATCCTGTACTTAGGTTTTGACGTTCCTTAGTGTCAGGATGGATCTGTCCCAAGTTGGTCTGGTCCCACATCACAGGGAGAGATTGGCTACTGGGAGTCAGTGTCAAAACCTTTTTAGTTATATTTGAGCAATAAGAGAGGTTCAGAGGGAGTGGCTCTCAGGCTAAGTTGACCTGGAATCTATTGTTAAGTTCAGCTGTGTCTGTTCTGCAGTCTTTTAGCTATCATCCCAAAGAGCTGGGCCAGCATTATTCTGTTAGGAGTTGTACTTCTGCAAACATTGGACAAGCTACAGGTACAAAGTTCAAAAAGGAACATACAAAATAAAATTATTAGCAATATGATAACCACAGTTTGCATAATGTTTTCAAGCTATGAACCCAGGCTTAAAGGCCATCAACTGAATAAATCAAATGCCCACAGGGAGCTAGGTGAGACCTGTTGCAACCATGTGGCTTGTTTTCTTATTTTGTGTATTTAGGTCTCAGCTTCCCCAAAGGAATTTATCCAGGCACAGCATATGGTATTAGCAGTAATATAGGCATATTCTTATCTAGCCAATAGATAATCTAGAGCAATTTTATCATCTCATATCCCATGACTGGGTTGAGTTAAAGCAAAGAGTGAGCAACAGTTGTATTAGGAATGTTATTACCCGAAGTCACCCACCAGATGGACTAAAGACTCTCCTAGGTCAGGTTCCGACTAGTTACTAGCAGAGGCTACTGATTGTGAAGTTTCAATTACATCATTTTCCTGCCAAGTGAAAGAGGTAAGCATAACAGGGAAAAGTTAAGAGGGGCAAGAGTCTATATGATGAAGAGTCTCATTCTATCACCTTGGGAAAAGCTGCCTGCAACATGAAGGAAACCATCAACATGTCCCGATTTGCAGTCTGAATGTCTCTGGTCATGGCACTGTGTGGCCTGGTGAACTTTCTGTGTAGCCCATACATCAGGTACAAGACTTGCCCCTTAAAATTAACTTATTTTCAGCTTATAGGGCTTCAGGAACAGAGCAGTTCTAATTTCATAGAAGAAAGTTGGATTGGAGGAACCCAGAATTTAGGTCCAGTCCAGCCTACAAGTGGATAACAAGAACTTGAAAACAATGCAAAGGGCTACAATCTAGTAACAGGTATTATATTTTTTCTTTAGTAACATAACTTTTTCTCTCTACAGTCACCCTGATTTCTATCAAAGGTAATCAGAGTAAGACTACTTTGTTTTTAAAATAAGTTTAGTTTTCATTTTAAAAATGAAAAATACTCATGAACAGTTTCTAAATTTTTGAGGGATCAAATAGAAAGAGTAATTATTTCCACCTTTGTTCACAAAAGTATACTTACCAAATTGCTATAAACTATAGATAATTGAAGAGAAAAAGTTTTGTTAAATCTGAAAAACAAAGCATTTAAGAGCCAACAGTTGTTTTAAATAAAAGTCATAAAAATATTATCAGTTATTCTCATGTAATTAATGTTCTGCTTGATCTTGGTTAGCAATTTCATGAATTTATCGTTTCTTTGTTAGAGTTCTGGAAGATTTTTATTTAATCCATTGAACTTAAAAGTTATTAGAAATCTATATTCAAGAATTATTTATCTTTTCCACGAATCTGATTGTATATCCCTTTAGAGTGGAATCAAAAGAATAACTATGGATGACAAAAACTTAGAATAGCCATGGTTAAAAAATCTAATGAAAGTTCACCAGAACCAGAAATGGACCAGGACATTTGGTGATTTTTTGTGGCATAGAACATAACAACCAGAATTATGACTGATGGCATATTAGATTTCTAAGAATTTAATATAATTTTGAAACAGTCATGAAACCACCCTTTATAAAATTAATCAAGGGCCACAAGGTGGAAACTGTGGTAGGGGCCTAAACTCTGCAAAGGTGTAGATATAGTTGAAAAATAACCAGCCATTCATTGTTTCATAGCTTGCCTTCCTATAATTTCTTATTGCTTAGGTGTTATGTATGATGGTCACAAGATTTGCGACCTTCCTAGTTACTTCTGTAGATAACATCACTATTGTGAAACCTAAGAGTGGTCTTTGAGGTATTTTCCAGACTCTGCATTCAGGTGGACCAACTGATGCCAACCAGTAGACCAGTGGCCATACTTAGGAACTAACTCAACAGGTCCTGCAACCCTCAATTTCTGCTTCCCAACTCTATGAGTTGATCCCCAGCCAATCAGGAGACCCAATTCCCTACCCCTTGGCCTGCCAGACTGTCTTTAAAAACCCTGGCACCAAAATTTTCAGGGAGATTTGGGGAATTTCTCCCATCTGCTCTCTTGGTAGCCCTGCAATATTAAACTCTTTCTCTGCTGCAACACCTGTTGACTCAATATATTGGCTTCCTTCTGGGC